CTATTTTACTTTAATAAAACTATAATGTTAATTCCAAGCTTGCGAGGGGAAAAACCCGGCTAAAAGAAGTCCAGACTTCAAATTATAAAACAAAAATATGTACTTACCAGACATTTTTTTCGTGTTATTATCGTTTCGAACTTCAAAAAATATGAGTTAATAAGTGAAAGTAGGTATCTCGATCCAGACGCTGAAGTTGATGTGTCTGGTTATGATAAAAAATAAAGTAAGTACCTGTCGTCGGTGCCTAAAAAGATCTTTAAGTGTTTTTGAAAGATATAAAATAGATAGAACAATGTTTCCTTTCCAAAAAGAACTGGATTCACCATCCCTATGTACAGTTCCTTTTTATCAGCCGACTGTTGGAGTAATTACATGTCTATAAAGACTGATAAACCAGTCTTACCTGTTGTATTGTCACGGACAGGAAAATATTACAAACAAACCTATATTTTGCGAGATAACGCTTCCAGATACCGAGGACCTAGTTCCTCTAGATTTTTGCAGATCCTTAATGGAAATTAAGCACGGAAAAAAGGAAATGTCAGGAAACTAATATTTTCTACCAACGCGGTATTACGTAGTTTTTTTAAAACCTCGGTGTGGACAGGTCTCGAGTTTAAATTTATTAAGCTTGACCTGACATTCATACCTTCGTTTGATCGCAAAATTACATGGGCGGTGTCGGCAAAGTTCAAGGACAAATGATTAGATCGTGCTGCGTATGCGCAACTCGGATCCAACTTGTGCCGGAAGACGGTTACTGAATTTACGATTGAGTTATGTTTTAACGTAGATGTATTTTTGGAGGAGGTTTATTTAGAAAGGCCTTCTACCACAAACAAGCTTGCTTTATTTTGCTTTAAAAAAAGTTGTCGTGCACATTCTGCGAAAAACAGCGTAAAATTAAAGTGTGAATGTTACCTACTTAAAAATCAAGTTACAAGGGCCATGCAGAATGTTATATAGCCTATTTAAACAAGTCGCCGTAACAGTGAATTTATGTGCTCACACGTAGTTAAATTCGAATGATAAGTATGCTTCGTTCGTAGATTTTTTTATGCGATATAGGTTGGTTGGGAAACCAGCGGATCACCTGATGGGATGTATCCGACAACTCCTTTTTTTTTTTTATAAATAAATAAATATAATAAATAAACTCCTATCGACCCCCCGGTTAGTCTCCTGCTGTAGACCCAGGTAAAGGTTGTGAGTAGTGCCTTACTCACAACCTTAAGTGTGGTAGACACCTTATATATATAACCTTGTAACTTTAAGTGTGGGAGAGCCATGCTTCGGCACGAATGGGTCGGCTCGACCGGAGTGATACCACGGCCTCACAGAAAACCAGCGTGAAATAACCACCGTTGTTTTGCCGTGTGAGTGAGGTTACCGGAGGCCCAATCCTTCCCCTTCCCCAATCCCTCCTCAATCCCTAAATCTCCAAATCCCTAATCCCTAAAAGGTCGGCAACGCACTCGTAACTTCTCCGTTGCGAGTGTCCATGGGCGGCGCTGATTGCTTACCATCAGGTAATCCGTCTGCTCGTTTGCCGACCTATTACATAAAAAAAAAACCTTTATCTCAAAAATAAATGTCAATAAATCAGCCGAATCGTTTGCAAGAGTAAAATACCAATTCTTACTATTCTGTTTGTCTTCGACCAAAAAATAAATGATGTATCCAATCCATGTATTTACTCACAAAGTACCTAAATAAAAATTTATCGAGTGCAGACCTGTGTATGCATCAGTGACTAATAGCAGAATTATGAATGAGTTCAATCAGCTTCGCGCTCAAGGATAAGAGTTTCAAAAATTATTCTAATGTTATACGAAATAAAGATGATTACATCTAAACTGGTCCTGGTGATGTACCTTCTGACGTACGTTTAGAAGAATATTCGTGATATCAATTTAAACGAATTTTGTGGTTCGTTTTAACAAATCATGATGACATTTACAAAATACCTATAGGTAAAATCAAATTAAATTTTATTACACGGCAAATGTGAAAATGAATTTGAGAATAGTAATCTGTACTTATAGAGTTCTGTATAAATGTGTGCCTTTTTTATTCATTTTCTTTTAAATATCGAAACAATTAGCAGTGCTATAATAATCTTTAAGTTGACCATTTAACAGCGTTACAGAATGTAGTTTGGCGAGCAATATTTAGTTAATCTGCAATAAAGCGTTTAATTTTAAAATATAGGTACATGGGTTACATTGATATATTAGACATTAACTCTTCCTCTTCTTCATCCTCCTCCAAAGAAGTGCCCTGTCGGTCTTTTGGGCGTTGAGGATTGGTCGGAGGGAATGAGTTTTCGGTAACATCACTTTCCGGTATTCTGTTAGGCTGCGGTATCACTACGGAGTTGATACCGGATAACCATCGAATTTTGCATAGCCGCGTATAAAATCTAAGCCCGATAATTAATTAACGTCTTTGGAAAGACTTTCTGAAAGGCCTTTTTAAGGAATAAAATCCTCCAGCTTTGGGTGAGGTGAGAGCGAGTATTGTATGTACTCTTAGGTATTGACTAAAAACCGCTCCGTTGTAACTCCTGCTTGGACTCGGCCTAGCTAATATTGATCCATCAACCCTATGATTACTTATAGCCCATATACCACCACAGACGGGTGCTACTGGGCCGATGTTCTGCCGGGCTGCAGGCCAATCGCGATAAGGTACCCTGGCCTCGGCCTAGAGCAGGACAAAGAACGGGGGGTTTTATTCAGTAAAAATCTGACATTCCCTCTTGCCAAGACTCTTCACTCTGGGCGAGAGAAGTCATTTGATGAATTTCCCCCCACAAGAAAGCCCTATAATTATCACACACCAAGATTGTTAAGGCTATTTGCAAAGATTAATTAATCATTTGGTGTGTTGATGATATCGGATTCTATTTTAAAAGTATGATTACAACTTCCGACTCAATTTAATAATGTTTTGATACTGAATAAGTAGGAAATGTAAAACCATTTTTTTTTAGATCGTGATCTCTTGTGGCTTACCTTTTTTTTTTTCTAAAGTTTTAGGTATTTACCTACTAACCTTCCTTAATTATTATGGAAGTAAAAATTATGAAATGTGATTCAATGTCATTTACGCTAAGCTAGGCGCTAGGGCGCTATGGCTAGGCTAGCTAGGCTAAGGCGAGAGAGAGTGTCAGACTCATACTGACTAAACTCCTTCTCCTGCTCTGGGCCAAGGCCGCTGTGACTCATTGTGCTTAACCCGCAACATAGTATATTATTATATTGTGCCCGCAAGCTGCAACCCCAGCTGGCTCTTTGAGGCGCGCGCGGATCGCTACGCGCCGTACGCTCGGGTCTGGTTCTGGTCGGGCGGCGAGCTACCCTTACTCGCCGTCCGCAGACCCGCGCTTACGATCGGAAGGCTGGAGATTATCGCTCAAAAGGAGTTTTACCTGAGTCCTTAATCATTCAGGGGTCAATAAGGTGCTTTCTTACTAATCAAATCTATTATTTTCCCGAATATTTACCACTTTATGACGTAAAATGAATTTATCTTAAAAAAATACGAATATTAGATAAGTATATCGTAACTTTTATGGTTTTATAGGATGAAAGTAACTTCTTTCTGACTGTGGTGTGTGTGACACCTCTCCCCATAAGTAGTGTAAGTTTTATAGTAATGGAGCACTTAATTAAAGACGTCCTGTTAACACGTGTCTCATTTGCGCCTACATTGCATGATGAAGAAATTATTCAATTATAAAATTTAAAATTAATGTCAGTATCTAGGTAGGTTTTATTAACCGAATGTAGGTAATGAAAACGCATAAATTTAATGATGACATTTTTGATCAAGTAGGTAAATCGCGTCATTTGTCTTCACAAAGATTTATTCGAGCGCTTTTTCAGTACAGTTTTTGCTCCAACCTCTAATATGATTAAGTAGATATTGTCTGACCATATTAATAATATGATAAATCGGAACTATTCGTTTTAAAAAATGGATATTACCAGTTTATAAATATTAGCATACCTAGATGTTATTAGATTACAATTGACAACTTTATTGAAAATAGAAATCTAAAATCAATCTTAAAGTAAAGAAAAACACCAAGATTCTGTAATCTTATTGATAATTAAGTACATAATTTTATTGGTGAAGTTTTTAAGTATATACTTATTTGATAATTACTACATGGATGACTGAATACGATGTATAAAGAGGTAGATAGGTAACATCTAAATATCCAATCGAGGTATTTTAATATTTCCCAAAGTCCCCTGAAGTAGGTTGTTTAAAAATTTAGAAATATTTAAGGTTACCAAAATACAAACAACCCAATGACTCATTGGTCAAAAATATGTAGGGACATTATGGAAGCAGGTAGCTGGTTAGAATTTGCTGACTGATCTTATTAATCGAAAGATCTGGAAGCACTGAACAATGGCGGTTCGGTTTGGTCGTAATAGATATTTTGTGCTTTTAAAGGATCTGAATGAGACCCTTATCTACATTGACACCACGTTGTGCACGGCCATGTTTGTTTACAATATGTAGTTGGATATTGTTACTATAAGTAGTAGTCGATGAAATAGCAATGACAGCGTCTTCGGAAAGCAAACTGCGGTAGGGGGTGAAGAGGTTAGTGTGGGAGAGCCATGTTTCGCCACGAATGGGTCGGCTCGACCGGAGTGATACCACGGCCTCACAGAAAATGGGCGTGAAACAACCACAGCGTTGTGTTTCGCCGTGTGAGTGAGGTTACTGGAGGCCCAATCCTTCCCCTCCCTTAATTCCTCACCAATGCCTAAATCTCCAAATCCCAATTCCACAAAAAGTCGGCAAAGCACTCGTAACTGCTCTGTAGTTACGGGTGTCCACGGCGCTGACTGCCATGAAGCAAAAACATTAATGCCTCGTACACTCCATTCCACTCCACTTGCACGAAACTGCGGATACCGCCGGTCAAAAGTAATCTAACAAATTTCCCGTTGCCTCCCTATATCAGATATAAGATGGGCGCCAGCCAATCGGTGCGCGCGACAGCGTTCCAGCGACCTAAAGCGACTTCCACGACTTCATTCCCTGAAGAAGAACCTGACGACCATCACATCAGTATTTCTAATAAAATGGTTCGTATGGATGAATTTGTAGGAATTAATCACTCATTTATAATAGGTAATAGGTACCAAGGTATAAACTTTTATTTATTAAATCGCGTTCCATTTGAAACGTTTTTCTTTTTTGTTATGGATTACTTATTAGACTAGCAGCAAGCAGACCGGTCACATCTGATGGTAACTGATCTGCACCGCCCACGTAAGCACACCTGCAGCACCAGAGGAGTCACAGGCGCGTTGCCGACATTTTAAACAGTAGGTACTACGCTCATTTTTTGCAGGTTTGAAGGTCATATCGGTTTTGAAATAACTCCGCTGAAAGATTATTCCAAAGGTTTGCAGTGCGGGACAGAAAGATTCGCGTTCTTATTACCGTGATGCTAAATAAAATTGGATTTTAATGTTGACATTTTTTATGAATATTATCTATACTTATTTTTGCTGTCAGGTCGAAAGATTAGTAGAAGATGCAACGCTGGCCGGTGGAGCAGCCGCCGCGACAGCACAGCCCACATCACGCGGAGACTACAGAGACAAGATCTTTATTGAAAAATTAAAGTGTATGGACGATACCCATTCAGAGTTGACTGGGTAAGACGTTTTTGAAGTAGAAGATTACCTAACAGACGGTCGGGTGACATGTTTCTGACGATTTTTGGCAACTGCAGGAAGCTAGCATGTATCGACATATAGGTATTTATCAGCATTAGTTCCTCCACGGAAATGAAAATTATATTCGGGACAATTGGATTCGTACATTTTCCGGGTCTCTCTTCTTTCTCGCTGCATTTATTTTGAAGGTGACGATATTGGCACGATGGCACATACCTAATCAGCATGATAATAATTATGGCCTTATTCGTGTCCAACCGCTTAAAAAAATTCGTTTCTTATTTCAGAATAACAGTAGAGGATCTGAACGCTTTAGCGGCTCGGATAGACATCCGCACTTCAAACATGGCGAGCATGGAGCCAGTCTGCGCGGACTGCAAGGAGCGCGTCATTGAGTGCTACGACGCATCTAGGAGGGGTTCCGATATTATCAAGTGTTGGGAGACTGTGGGTAAGTTGGATAAATGCTCCTTCCTTCCTTCCTTCCTTCCTTCCTTATGATAGAATGTGGTGCCGCCCATGAACACCCGCAACGCCATAGGCAATACGAGTGCGTTGCTGGCCCTTTTCGGATCTTTAAGGATTGGGAAGATAAGAGGGGAACGGATTAGGCCTCCGGTAACCTCACGCCGCCGGTTTTCTGTGAGTATTACTCCGGTCGAGCCGACCCATTCGTGTCAAATCTTGGCTCTCCCCCACTTAAATGCGCGTTCCTGAATCCAAAGCAAAATATTTTCGCTTTTTAAGCGATTTTGATCCAATAAGAACTGTCCTATACCTATTTATTAAATACCTATAGCCTTAACAACCTTATAAGTTGCCTACCTACTAAAGTTTATACAACATTCCCTAGGAGCATTTACAAAGTGCGTGCAGGAAACAGCGTTGTCGCGCCTGCGTGCCCGTACGATGCGCGAGGCGCGCGACCGGGCGCGCCGCACGCGACACGTGGCGCGCGCGCGGGAACACGCACTGCGCGACCTCGCCACCACCTGACCTGTACCGACCTGCCTTACTTCCATACCTACTACATAACACGTCATCCAGTATCCACTCCAGGGACGATGCCGGATTAACCACGTTGCAAGCATTTACCCACAATGTAGTAACCACAAAGTATGTTCTCGCATCTTCGTCTTGATAAGTGTACTTTTTGTGATATCACATACTTATGCCCGGTTTCCGAAAGCCCGATCAATGTTAAAATCAACTAACTAGGTGTCAAATCTCTTGTCAAGTCATCTGATTGGTTGACTGGATTATCAACAACCAATCAGATGACTTGACAAGAGAATAAATTGATTTTAACGTTGATCGGCCTTTCGGAAACCGGGTGTTAAAGTTTTAAATAGTAACGTGTCATGAGGTTTACTAGATTTATTGAAAATAACGACTTACTGTGAAAAGTTCTACTTAACTAGTTTCAAGTCATAACAAGTCTTACTCATGAGAAGCGTGCGTATCGCGGCAAACGTGTAGTGCATTCAGCTGTCTCGAGTTTGCGCGTCCAACGCGCCCTCTGCCGGCAAACGCGCGCGCTTCCTTCCTCCGGCGCGGGCAATAAGTACGGCGGCGTCTGCGAGGATATTGCGACGCTCGGCTCATTCAGAAGCGTCGGTGTTAGGGGCTTATTTGTGACACACCTAGTTGGGAACATTGTAGATCGATGTAGACTTGAAGACTACTTCCCAAGTGGGAGGCAGCGTCCAGCAACCCTCTCAGTAGAAACAAACTTACTTGCTAGAGGTTTTCACGTAAGTCGTTATTTTCGAAAAATCACAGCTTTCACAAAATAAAGGTACACAAAACAGAACGGACAATTAGGTCTCGGCATACTTACAGACACTTAAAGAGGAAGGTCTGTCAGTACTTACAATGTTGCTATGGGCGCCACATTTTATTTACCCGTCACAGCTTAGGAGATTTCTATGCATAAAAAGGTTGGCTGGAGCTCTAAGTAGTACTTCTTTCAATGTACTTAAACGATATTGTATTACAATGGTAAATAAAAAAGTGTGGAAATGATGTATTTGGGTTCCAGAAACAGACTTTTTCGAATCTGAATTAAATATTTTATGGCCCATGCTATTTTTTATCAATCGATATTGTAATCACAATTTTTGTGTCCGTCTTTCGTTCTATTCACTGAAAGTATGTCTCCAGAGTGTAATATTCTTGTAATGTAAAAGATATGAAGTGTAAATATTGTAGATTGCAGTCATTAATAAAAGTTAAATAATATTTGTTTACGTTTATTTCACTTATTAACTAGCTATAGATACCTACATACTTAATCATACATTATACAATTTGATTGAATAAGGCTTAATAAATTTATACAGAATGTTAAACATTACACCAAGCACATACGGCCTTATTACAAAACAAGGCTTTTCGTTAGTCTTGAGTCTAAAACATTGAGCCAGTTTTTGTATTTCGAATTTTAGGTAGGTAGATGAGAATAAGATTCAAAATTTAAAATCTAAGTCAATGGTTTAAACTGAGACTAAAGATTTTTGTAATAAGGGGGATAAAGTTTAAAATCCTATGTAAAACATAACACGACATTTTAGTAGGTACTATAATTTTAGTTAAAAGACACTTTCTTCTTAACATCATCAGGAGTAAGTTTACTTCTAACTTGAACAGCAACTTTAGGCGTGCCAATATCAGTCTTATTGTGATCGTTGTTGGTGTCAGGTTTGTTTGCGGGGGAGTTGGCCTGCTTGGTGGCGGAAGCGGTAAGTAGTGCAAGTTTTCTGCGAAGTTCCCTGACTTGCGCAGCGCTGGCGAGCTGGGCTGCTCCGCGCGATAGTACTTCGGCCCTTAGTTGCTCGCATTCTGATCTGAAATCAAATGGTCCTAGTAAAACAAACAATAGAATACGGTGGTTCTTGGCAGAGACCGGCAAAGGAGCAGATTACCATCTGGACAATGGCCTTTTAAAGATAAGCGTTTCTGATATTTAAGGATTGGGAAGGGATGGGGAGAGGGGGATGGATTGGGCCACCAGTAACCTCACTCATGGCGAAACACAACGCTATGATTGTTTCACGCCGGTTTACTGTGAGGCCATAGTATCCCTCCAGACGAGCCGACCCATTCGTGCTGAAGCTTTGCTCTCCCACACTTGTCTCTTTTGATATATCTGTGGATTCATGCCTTTGTATAGAATGGCAGGTCAGATCATTTGCTTTTGGCTATTCTGTATCAGGAAATTTTACAAAAAGTACCTACAATGACATTATTTCCATTACATTTGAGAAATGTTTTCAATAATCTTTTAGTAGTAAGTAGTATTAAAAGTCAAAACATTTATTTTTAGCCAAGCTTCGACACGAATGGGTCGGCTCGACCGGAGTGATACCATGGCCTCACAGAATACCGGCGTGAAACAACCACAGCGTTGTGTTTCGCCGTGTGAGTGAGGTTACCAGAGGCCCAATCCCTCCCCCTCCCCTATCCCTTCCCGATCCTTATATCCTCAACCCCTATCCCCAAAAGACCGGCAACGCAATCGTAACTCTTTGGTGTTGCGGGTGTCCATGGGCGGCGCCGATTGCTTACCATCAGGTCTGCTAGATTGTTTTTTTTTCTTAAAAAAAACTTTACCCCATTGTGTCTCCTGTGTTGTGGCTGTGTTAACAAATATACAATTTCACATGCAAGTCACACCCAGACCCTTAACAACAATTTGTGGATCACAAAATATCTTGTTCCGTGCGGGATCTGCTGCAGGCAGTTGCCCAGGCACCGCGCCAACCGTGCTGTCGATTGTCAGCGATCAAGCTCTGAAGATAGAATTAGATATTGGCACTTACTTCAAATGGTCCAAAACTCCAGGTAGCCAGCCATTAGCAGTAGGTTCACATAACTTGCCGAACCACCGTGACAGCTCGCGGCGCTGCTTCTCACAGGCGCCCTCTAGCTGAGTGATGCGCTCCTCGTAGCTTTCTGTAAAAGTAAGAATATAAGAAGTGATAATTTTCGAAAAAGCATGTCGTTCTGCGCCCAGTGACGCCCGCATAGGGATAATATGGATCTGAGCTTCACACTTTCGCCAGAGATGTAACAATAATTACGAACTTAATGTCGCATAAGTACATATTACACCCAGGCCTGGAATAATAATTTGTGGACCATAACGCAAAGGAAGAGGCGGAGCGCGTGAGGGAACTATCCTCCTCACGCCCCAGCCGCCACCAGTAGACGACATTCCGGGCGTAAGTATCAAGAGTTGATCTCCAGCCACCGTAAGCGCGGGTCTGTGGACGGCGAGTAAGGGTAGCTCACCGCCCGACCAGAACTCGAGCGTACGGTGCGTAACGTTCCGCGCGCGCCTCATAGAGCCAATAGACCACCACAGACGGGGCCCTATAGGGCTGATATTTAGCCAGGTTTATGCGGGTTAAGCGCAATGAGGCAATGAGGCACCGCGGCCTCGACCCAGAGCAGGAGAAAGAAGAAGGAGTTACCCTGAGCAGGAGAAGTCATTTGATGATTTTCCCCTGACAAAAAAAAGTAACTATGTCAACTCTTGTAAGTTTGGCGTTTTGGAAGGGAGATTTTCATTTTCCTTCTCAGACTGTTACTGACTAAAAATCACCCCATTCTTACTCCTGCTTCATGCGTAACCATTACTGAGCTTGATTTTGCTGTCATGTCAACAGCCTTTATAAGTTATCTCAAGGTAAGAAAGTTTCCTTACTGATCAGGTCAGAATTGACTGCACGGTTGGTGCGGTGGCTGGACAACTGGCTGCCGTGCAACGTGTCGCGGGTTCGATTCCCGCACGGAACAACTCTTTGTGTGATCCACAAATTGTTGTTCCGGGTCTGGGTATCTTGTGTATGTGAAAATGTATGTTTGTAACAGCACCCACGACACAGGAGAAAATTCTAATGTGGGGCAAAGTTTTTTAAAAAACCAAAAAAAATTGACATTAGGAAGAAAGAATGTGTAATGTTCAGGAGAAGAATATTTCAAATTCAAACCATGTATTTCAAACAGTGAAATATTCAATAATGAAAATATATGTGGAAGGTTTAAGTATGCAGTCTCTGTCTGTGAAAGAGTGTATAAACCCATGAAGCATTAATACTTACCAATAAGTTCTCTATCATAGTGAGCTGCGGCTCCGGCCTGCTGTTCCCAGACTGTCTGCTTCTCATGAAGTAAGGCATCTACCTCAGCTTGCTTGTTGGCTAGCTCTCTTCTCAGCTGAAAGTTTACATAATACAATAATTAAAAGTTTTAAGTATGTCTAACTAAAGATCAAGAAGAATCTTTAAAACTACTGAATAGATTTGTTAAAGTTTACCAATCAGATAGATAATCTAAATATTTGAGAGAAAATAAGAGTTATGTGTTAATTTAGTTGTATTTTTACTATGTTTGATTATTGGCAAAAATACATAATAAATAATTACCCTAGAATTTGTTTGTTTCATCTGAATGAGGTTCTTTGCCATTTCCTGCCTCTTGTCTTCAACTTCAGCAAAAATAGAATTACCTTTAGCAGCTGAAAATAGAAAAAAGAAATGTTAAATTAGTTGAATTTTATAAATTTAATAATAATAAAATTACAATGATGATGAATAATCCTAAATATTGTAAGTAAACTGTTTGGTAGCTAGACTGCCTTAATTGTTGAACTTGGTAGTTTTTTTGTGACAATCAAGCCAATGTATCACGAAATGGTAAGTGATCTGCCTGCCCATGAATACTTACAGACCACAACACCACTGGATTTGTAAGTATGTTGCCACAGATGAAAACCATTTGCAGTTATAAGTTCCTTATTTTTATCAATCACTAGTCTACAATAGTGGAATAGTTGCCATTCTCAGGAATTTGAATTTAAGACTATACAACAAAGGATTTTAATAATACTTACCATGAGGTTGTAAGTCCTGTTGTACATCTGTACATTGGTGCAGCATAGCTTTGGCTTCTGCTAACTCAGCCAGTGCAGTAGCTTCCCTCTCATTAGCAGCCCTAAGTTCCTCTCTCCGAAGGTCAGCTGCTACGCGCATCTCACCCATCTCAGAGATCAATTCTTCAGCTTTTAAACGCCATGATGCAATTTCCATTCTCGCTTCTTCGAGGGCTGCTTTAGCCGCAGCAGCATCGGACAGGGCACTGTTCACTGTTTTCCGCGCCTCCTCTAACTCAGAATTATCTCGCTCCGGACTCTCACGTACTTTCAAAGACTGTTCTTCTTTTAAATTACGAATCTGAGTTTCGAACTTACTGATTTCGGCTGCATGTTGTTCAGTTAGTTGTGTACGTTCTACTTTTAACTCTGAAATTTCTTCTTGAAGGTTTGTTATACGGGAAGTAAAGTCATTTTTTCGACGAGCTTCATCAGCCTGGTAACTTTCTAACTCCGCATTTAAGTGCCTCTGAACGTCCAAAGCCGTTTGGTAGCTTCGTCTAGCATCGTGTAGTTCTTGTTTGGTCGCTTCATAACTGCTAGAAAGATTGTCGTATTGTTTCTTGAGCAAATAATAACGTTCACTTAATTCACCATTTGTTAACTCTTCAGCTTCTGTGTAATTAGTCTTGTTACTGATAGTAGAGTAATCCATGGTTATTGGCACTCGAAACTGGAATATTTTCTTTGTTATAATACAGGTTACTGTAGAATAGAAGATAGAACGTAAATTACAAAATATAAATTAAATGGTAAACAAAACGGACAAAACGGACTTTTCGAATTCAAAACTGATCATTTGACAGGAAGACGGGTGAAGACTGGTGACGTCAGTCTATTCGTTTTGAAATAATTAAAACTATAAGTGGAAAAGTCGAGCTGATTTTATATTGTTGTTAATGAGATATTTTGTTACAATTGTTTTCAATTATATTGGTAGTATTCAATAATTTCTAAATATTAGAAGTTTTTTCCTTTAGTTATATGCTCAATAAGTTATGTAACTGAAATTCAAATAAAGTTTATTTCTGAACAATGCCAACATCTGACATAATGATGCTGTCATTTTTGACATTTTTGTTGTTATATACCAAGGGGCGTAAATAGTTGTGATATCACTATTTTTATCACCAAAATAAGGAAAACCTCTGAATTACAAAAATAAAACAACAAAATGTCCTCTCCTCCTCCTACCAAACCCCCACGGGGTGTTAAACAAGGAAAAGAAACAGTAAGTATTTACTATTTGAGCTGCAAACATGTATTCACGAGATAAAGTAAGGAATTTCTGGTATTTTACTAATATCTGCTTTCTATTTATTGAAAACAGCGTTATTTCTTACTCTTCATACGTACATGGTTCTATTGGAGATGAAATTAATGATTTTGCAGTAGTAGTAGTTAGTAACAAAACAATTAAGTAAGAGAAAACTTCACTCTTGTTATCTGCAAACAAAAGTGATTCTAAAGTACATTCTAAAAAAAATCATAAGAAATAAAATACAAAGATCTAATAAGTCATCATAATAATATTTTAATTTAATTTTCAGAGTGGTTTGCTTATGTCAGTGATCCGCACCCTCTCAGCGAGTGAGACAAATGAACAGCGAGAGAAAGAGAGGGCAAAATTAGAGAAGGAGTACAAGAAGAGTGATGCCAGACTTGATGAACTGGTAGAAGAACATGCACAGGAAATTATGGAAGTTATGCAAGTAAGTTCGTGGTAAACATAGTTTTGGGTTTCAATATGAGAACCATTTGTAGGTCATAAAACAGTTGTTTCATTATACCCAAGGATATGCTGTATTGGAAGCAGTTGCAATAATTAATACTTTAGTCTTTAATAAGGTTAAGGATATCTAAAAGACAGAAAAATCTACAAAAATAATATTTTTCAACCCCTCCAATTAAGGGAAAAATCATAAAATAATAATTGATGCTATTACTGTTTTGTTTGTTGTTGGCAGCCCTTAAAAAAAGCTTGATGCCAATTTATTGTATTGACATTTGTTGAAGAGGATGTACTAACTTCTGAACTTTCCCATTACATATTTGAAACATGATTATGCAGGTATTAACGCGAAAAATAATGATTTAAATAGCTTGGTAGGCTTGACGTTCAACCTGGTTACACAGGTTGTGGTAGCTAGCAGACTGCCTGCGAAGTCTGGTTATTATGTGTTGAGGAGGGTGATTATCAAATTACTTCTTCTGTACTTAGTGAGGGGACATAATATATCAAGGGTTTATAGTTAGTCAGAGTACTATCAAAAAAACCCTTTTCCTTCTTGTGCCTCAGCCAGGCTGCACTACATTTCTCCAACCATGTTATAATTATTCTTTATATCCTTTCTTCTTTATTTCCACCTACTGACAATATTCGATGTTTAAAAACAATAAAAGAAAACCCCTCATATTAGTGTAGACATTAACAGTTAAATTTATTTTATTTTCTCAGAAATTCAGCAGTGTAGTGTCAGCGCTGACAGTGTGGGGCCAGCACTGTGATGCTGTGGTAGCTCGCCTCGGCGCCTGTCGGGGCTTACTACGCCTTAGGCGCGATGACTTAAAGCGGCTATGGGCGGATGCTCGCACCCATCACTACGCCCTGCAGATGCTAACTGATATGTGAGTATTATTCAAATCTTTATTGTTATAAATACTCTTATTCTCTTGAGGAAATTCCAATGACTTTTTTTTTTATAGAATGTTGTTCTTTATAAACACTTTTACGAAAAAGTTTCTATTCCATTTCACATCATCAGCCTATAAAGTACCCACTGCTGAGCAGAGGCCTCTTCTCACATGGAGAAGGACAAACCTTCTCCATGTGAGAAGAGGCCTCTTCGCATTAATCACCACACTTGTGCAAGGTGGATTGGTAATTTCTTATAATTCGAAATTATAAGTCCACGTATCTTCACGACACGATGCTTTCCCCAACCATATGTCAGTGGTATCTAAATAATGGTAGAAAGTATTTACATATAACTCAGATAAAGACACATTGGTACATTACGGCCGACGTATCTTGGCGAGTCTGAAGTTAGCCGTTTGTCTGCGCAATGGATCTATGAAACAAAATTGTGTACTGCGTAGCTAATCGGCTAACTTCAGACTCGTCTAGATACGTCGGCGGTATTGTACTTGCCAGATTGCGAACCCCATGCATAAAAAGCGGGCGTTTTAACTTCCGGGCAACCACGACATCCATCATTCCATTTACAAAAGTAGATTCTTTATTTGAAAATATTGTCATGTCAGTGAGCGAGTAGTGGTGTCGGAGCGCGAGGCGCGCGAGTGTGTGGCGGCGGGGCGCGTCCTGGCCGCCGCGCAGACGCTGGCCGCCGCACTCGCCACGGCCAGCACCACGCTGTCACACGTACACGCGCTCCACGCCACCAGGCAACACCTACAGGTAACATCACACACGCTCGCCACGGCCAGTACCACGCTGTCACACGTACACGCGCTCCACGCCACCAGGCAACACCTACAGGTAACATCACACACGCTCGCCACGGCCAGCACCACGCTGTCACACGTACACGCGCTCCACGCCACCAGGCAACACCTACAGGTAACATCACACACGCTCGCCACGGCCAGTACCACGCTGTCACACGTACACGCGCTCCACGCCACCAGGCAACACCTACAGGTAACATCACACACGCTCGCCACGGCCAGTACCACGCTGTCACACGTACACGCGCTCCACGCCACCAGGCAACACCTACAGGTAACATCACACACGCTCGCCACGGCCAGTACCACGCTGTCACACGTACACGCGCTCCACGCCACCAGGCAACACCTACAGGTAACATCACACACGCTCGCCACGGCCAGTACCACGCTGTCACACGTACACGCGCTCCACGCCACCAGGCAACACCTACAGGTAACATCACACACGCTCGCCACGGCCAGTACCACGCTGTCACACGTACACGCGCTCCACGCCACCAGGCAACACCTACAGGTAACATCACACACGCTCGCCACGGCCAGTACCACGCTGTCACACGTACACGCGCTCCACGCCACCAGGCAACACCTACAGGTAACATCTGAGCGCAGTCTTCTTCTCACACGGTCCCCCTATGAGCATTTCCACTACATAATTATCAGATTGGCAACTTCAAATTTATTTTAATATCCAGGTTTCCCTTTTATGTTTAAGGTTAACCTTTTATATGTCAGTGATACTCGAATAAGCTTAGAAAGTACTATCGGCCAAAGTTCCGCAAGCTTACCTCTAAGGCGATAATTGCTTGGTACGGCTCTCGGCTCAATAACTCAATGCATGCGTTTCGACCAATAGGAAGCACGAACCGTATTTGTGTTATGTTCGTATAAATATGATGTATAAATGTGTGACACTTACAAAAGATGATTATTTAAAGGAGACGGTCTGCATGAGCTCTTTATGAAGACAAATTATTACGTAGGTACTAATATCTTCTTTTCGTTCAGTATTATAGTGTAGCCCATTTGGAATATATTTTTGAAATGTAGACCAAGTGTAAGTCTTCGAGAAATAGCGGAACAAGGAAGGGGCGTAGTTGGCTACTAGTTGCGCTTCCGTAGGAATATTTTCTAAAGTGATCATGCGTATTTTTTGCTGAAAAATCTCTAAAAAATTCACATAGGTAGATACATACTTGTCAGGTTTTATCCAGAAATTGTAAGAAAAGCGATCCATTGCGGCATAAAGCTACTATTATGTAGCTGAAAAATATAGTCAAGCATATTAAATACCTCCGCCTTTGGATGAAAATCCATTTTTGACAGAACACTCTTTCCCTCAACAACTATATTGTATAGTATATTGCATAAAAAGAATGAAATTATTTTTGACTGACCACTTACATATTATTCCAACATTTACTCTATTGATCTTTTCTCTGATTTCCTATCAATTTTTCATGTATTATAAATTTAGTTTTAATCTTTAATTTTAGCTAAAAAAACAAGAATTAGTTGACGTGATAGTCCGACGTCTAAGCGATGCTGTGTACAGAGATGAACGCGCGCCGTTAACGAGGCGCGTGTCTGCAAGGAGGCGCACTGCGTTACTACTGGCCGGTGAGAATTGTATTCGATATTTAAATTATCCTAAGAGTTTGTGTAGGTATCCGTCAAACAAATATCAACTCCAATGTGCCAGCAAATAAAGTTGTTTTGGATAGACATTAGTTTTGAGAAGTTAATAACAAAATATGGTTTCCAATACTCAATACTTTTATTGCAATGTGAAAAAAAACTTTTCTATGAATAATGGTAGTTTGCTAGGTCGAAAATAAATTAATTTGACGTTTCAATACATCGATCGATCGATACACTAAATTTTAGATATTTTGTAGCAAATTTTTACTAAATAAATAAGCTATTTGACGCAAAAATTCTATGACGTCATAACTCAGTGTTTCATACAAATTTCATAGAAGAGAATCGTTTTTGACATTTGGATAAAAGTTTTGAGTTTGAAACCTTAAATATGTTTATTTGACTTTTCAATACAATGAATTAGTGTAAAAATAAACTAAACAAGACTCAAAACAATTGTTTTTACAGACAGTATATAGAACAGCTTTATTTAATATGTAGATAATTCTTCTGTTACCAGAACTAACAAAGAGTGAAGAAGTAACAGACGCGTACTTACAAGAAGTGACTCCGGAGTTCGAGGCCTCTCTGTCGGAGGAGGACAAGACATTTGAGACCACCGTCATGATATCCTTGGAGGCTCTCGGGGAATTGG